AGCAAGTGAGTTCCATTAGTGGTTCATCAACGAGTGTTAATATCACCCGGCCTAAACCGGCAAGACAGCGTGTTCGTGGCCCAATGGTTAGGGCCTTGGACCCTGATCAAAAGATCGCGACTTCGAGACTCGGGTGGTGCACCGCCTTGATTTGGGTATGACTGGCTGAAGACCGCTAATAAGCCAGAAATGGTCATTCCAGTCTCCCTTGTCGTTGCCCACCGTATTATCATAAATAGTCCTTTTAAGTGATTACATGAGATCGATTCTTTCCAAAGCTGATGCGTTAACCGAAGAGAGTGCAGTTAACTCGACTTTGGGGGAGGTTGGTGGTTATGCGCCATGAGAGGAAGCACAATTTTTCTAACTCCGAATCATTAACCAGAATTATTCAAACAAAATGTGCTTGAAAAGTTAATTTTCTTGCTAGCTTGCATGAGTAAATTATTTGAGGTCACATTGAACTTATTGTGTTTACGTGTGCATTTCAGCGAGGAAACGGATGACTTCAAACCACGGGGATGTGGCAAGTTGGTGACAAGATCCAACCTATACTACGGTGCGCATGAAGATCGAGGTAGGTTCGCAACACCCCAACCCTCTCCACTACTTTTCTTTTCTGACTTCACTTAAACTTCTTTTAGAAAGCCTGGAATAGGTGTGCAAAGAACCCGCAAAAAAATTGCAATTGTAAAAAAACGAGGCTGAAGAAGAAGCATAAGGGCATGGCAGAAAGAGAAACAGAGTGGAACCTCGGTAAACGGGTTTAATCCGTTCCAGCACCGAGCTTGTCATGTGAAACGCTCGTCTTGCGAACCGTAGTCAATAAAACTGTATCAGTTCATTGATTGGCTATAGGCGACCGAGGACCCTCGGCGTGAGAGCAAAACGCAGTAGCACTAACAACTCGTTAACAGAGTGGAAGCTCGTCAACTGAAATAAATGCTCCGCGAGTGGCTCGCTCGTCTTCCAAAATGTTCGTAGATGGTGTCGCTTGTCCCCTGAGGCTCTACTGTGAAGGGTAGATATTATGCGTCTTCCGGTCAATGAAGTTATTCCTCAGACATAGAAAACTTTCTGTTTACTGCATGCAGGAATTATATGTTAACGAAAGACTAGGTCATGAGGTAAAAATGAATTGTCTTAAAAACAAATTTCCTTACGCTGCGTTAACATTTGATCATGGAATAATGGGATTTTTAATGGGATGCCAAAATGAATTCAATGAATCAAAACGAGACTAAAAAGCCTTTTTTATTTGGAGGCCTGATATGCAGACTTAGCTTAGACCATCTGTAGAGAAACATGACTGATGGTTGGTCGCATTTTGGCTGATGACTACCTTTCCACTTTTAATTGAGATGAAGTGAAAATTGAAAGATCTGTACACCTGCACAGTTGACGACTTTTCTACAGTACGGTTGGTATTTCGCGTAAAATGCCAAAATGTGAGAAAGATTGGTAAACACTCGAAATACGGTATTAAGTAGCCTTGTAAGAGTGACTATCATGCAGCCTAATCTCAAGTTTCTTCAGTCACGTCAGCACGCCAGTCTTTAATGAGTTCCTCTGTGACCGCTTACAAAAAGCATATTCTGTACAAATGACTACATAGGTATTATGCATTTATTTCATTGATTTTGACTGACCTTATAAATTTAAATATATTTTATAGAAGACATACACGAAAAATACTCATTCTTGTACTTGTTTGGTAGCAAAATTATGCCCTGTTTAAATTTTTTACTCAAAAAGGGTATCTTTCGATTTTTAAAAGGGTTTCTAAATAGCCGAATAATTTTAAACTTGCTGACCGTTATACTTGAATGCAAGGTTTCCAACCGGTGTGCCGTGTACATTCTGTGTAAGAAAAGGTACCCTTTTTCCTGCGGTGTGAGGAAGAGTTCGCATAGTTTTAATAAAATTTGCAATAGATGTTGATCATGCTGTATGCATTGTAGGCAACATTAATAAATTTACGTATACAATTTATTATTAATTAACATACGTTCGTAATTAGAAATGTATGAAAAACCGAAATATACTGATATTTGTTTTAAGTATGGAGCTTCAAGAAGACGTAATTAGCTAGCAACAGAGTGCAAGAATAAATATTTTCGCGCACGTCTTCTAGAAAATATATATAAGGGCAGTCAGAAGAATCAATGAGGTAAATGTATGCTGCCTATTTAACTATTTTTTTACAAAATATGTACTTTTGTAAGCAGGCAGAAAGAAGCTCCTTAAAAAGCCGGCATCTTGACGTGATTGAAAACAAAACCTTGAGATGAGGCTGCATGATAATCAGTACTGCAATCTTACTTAATGCCGTGTTGCGAGTAATTATCAATCCTTCGCAAACTTCGGTATTTATAACGAAATACCGGTCGTACTGTATTCCAAGCAAAAATGCGACTCCTAGGAAGTTGGTGAGAAGAGGGCGTATACGTGAACACTGGGCCACGGGGTTTATTTGCCTGAGGTTTTAGATTCATTCTGGATTTCATTTCAGCGAAAGCAGCGTATGGGCATCGTTCGTTAACAAGGCGTTGTATTATTTATAGGACGCAGTCACTATGCTACCTAGGAAAATTAGCTGTGGTAATTAATGGCTCTCTGCTTCGTAGAGGATGATTGCCCTCTGGTATGCTAATTGCTTGATGACCGGCGTACGAGGAAAGAAATGCGCTCTCTCCTACCGCCAGCAACAGGCCGCCGCCTCGCTGATCGGTCGCCTGATGTGGGATAGACGCAGGGCTGAAAAAGAAGACAAGTCGGAGATGAGCATTGTAGAGGTTTTGCCCAGGGAAGAGGAAATAAAGAAGAGAGAAAGAAGACAGAAAAGAAACAAGGAGAAGGAAACATAAGAATGAGAACACAGCTAACCTTTCAGCGGAGGATCTTCAGAGAGCGCTGAAGTTTTCGACGGGGAATCCCACACGCATACACATGAAGGAATAGTTCTCCAGTTATATTATACCGAACAGAGTTCTTCAACTCCATGTGTATAGAAACGCAGAAGAATAACGAGTTAAAAATGCATAAGGATTTGTTCAGTATCAGTTTATTGACGGAAAGGTAGGCGAAAGCCTTTGAACTCCCTATTAGTAACAAGGTGATAGAAATTATATGAGCAAAAAGAGAAATTGAGAGAGATAATGCTTAATTTTTAGGGTAATATTCAAAATTTTCTGCAAACAATGGCTCCATTCACGGAGAGCAAGGGGTCAGGCTAAAAGGTCATAGAATACTCAAAGTTAAAGGTTTACATGATATCCCCATCTGTTGTGGAGACAGGTTGGCTTTCAACCTTCCAATTTCTCTTTATTCCCACGTGTGGTAGCGTGCTAGGGATGGGAGTACCGAGTGCTGATATGTTATGTACGGCAAGGCATGACGAAAGCTTCGGCGCACAGTACAGGAAGACATTGCAGCCATTATTTCAGAGTGGAGAGCGTGACCGACCTCCCTAAGGATGCGATCAGCAAACTGCTTGACCGTTTTAAGGTGTCGCTGTATTATAAGGTCAACTAAAAACATAGGAGACGCCGGCAGCTGAAGAGAGCATTTGGAACCTACGCTTAAAAATAACCAGATCTTTTTTAAATAAAGATGGAAAAATAACTTCAGTGCAGTAAAGAATGAAGGGGAGAATACAGACATCCATAAATCGCCATATTAGAGCTTTTGGTGTGCGATATGAACGCAAACGCTGGATATAATACAAATGTTTGCAGATTTTAATAAAGAGGCCTTCAATATTAAGAGTAAATGAGAAGTTAAATGCCAGAGTATCAACAAAGTACCGGACAGAGGATACTTGGTTGGGCAAAATGTCAATGGTTTCAGGACTGGGAGGGGGTCGCAGTCGAAAAACACTGGATTGACTTCCGGTCGTTTAGTAGAAGGCCATTTGCTGACGACCATGTTGATAGGTGGTCCAGACCATCCTTCAGAACTTGGAGATGTGTTGGACTTTTGAAAAGATGACCAACAATAATATCATTAGCATATTTGACAAAAAAGCATTCGTTTGGCGATCGTAGGTCGTCAGTGTGGGGGGGAAGGGGTGAGCGGATAATACAGACCCCGGAAGAACTTTATAGTTGTTGGGAAGAACCATGGATTTTCGCTTGCCACACTGGACGAATTGAGTGCGGGAAGTGAAATATTCCCCAGGGCAAGAGACATCACAGAAAGGAGAGCCACACGCAGAAGTTTCATGAAGAAGAAGATGGCGCGAGATCGTATTAAAGGCTGAGGAGTAGTTAAGAAAAGCACATGCGTATGCACGGCAGCTCTTATCTAAGTCTCTTAGAGCAGAATGGATTACGAGAACAACAGCATGTAGTGTACTACGACTAGCCGTATACGCAAACCGCTGGGGATCGGAAAAGTCGGAGGAAAACGGCGTAATTATGACCATGGCAACTCGTTCTGCAAGCTGCAGTAGTGCAGAAGAGCAGGCGATTGGACGAAAGGATTTAGGACCAGAAGTAGAGGGTTGTTACGGGATGGGAGTGAGTCCACTGAACGTCTATCATCGGGGGTCGTGAACTCCATGAAGGATAACTTGATGGCGTGTGTCAAGGCCGGAGCTCACTGAAAAGAGCAGGATTTAAGGAGAAACGATGAGCCACCATCGGGTCCGGCAGCTGTTGAACCTCGAACCTTTTTAAGGTGTTTCATCTCTGTCGCCACAGACACAGCAGCAAAGACACTTGGTAATAAGGAAATACTGTTTTTCGAAAGATAGGAGTCGGTGGGAGTGTGGATGGTGAATCACGTTGTTGTTCTACTGCTTGTGTCTACTTCTTTGCAAATATTCTACTGTTTAACGCCCACTGTTTTACATCTATCTGGATTACGACGGCATTTGTGCATCCACGGTCAGCAGGACTTACACTTGTAACCAATAACCCCATACTGGCAATATTCATCTCAAATCAAACAAGGTTATCTGTTCTTCCCCCCTCCCCTGCCTACAGAAATTACTAT